GGGGAGGTGGTTGTTCTAGGGAGAAAGAAGTCAAATAACTCTCGCAGCAGCACTAAGAAAATGGAGCCGATACTGGATTCCTGCAATACCATGAATAACTCCAAAGTATCTCTTGGCACTTGGGGGAGATGCATGGCCCTAGATCTTCTTTACTTTCTCAGGTTTCACACAGGCTAGAGGCCATGTGTACATCTTCATCTTTTTCTTAGAGCATAAGACCAGGAGAAAGTCCAACTAGTAGTTTGTATTCACAGGGAACATCCAAAGGTCCATATGAGAGCATTTCTGGGAGGCAGAGGGGAAAGGTCACAACCTGTTTAGAGACAACAAACTGGAGTCCAGAGAGGGTATGTGATCCACTTGTGGACACACAGTAGGCAGTGGATAGGCAGGGAATACAGCTAATACAATGCCATTAGCTTCTCTCAAGAGATGAGCTAATAGGCTCAGAGAAGTCAAGGCTGACACTCTAAGACACAGCTGGTGAGCAGAGCAGCTAGGATTTGGACTAAATTTCCCTAATAAAGCCCAAGCACTGAAGTCACATACTGTGACTTCACCAGGAATCAATCCTAACCCTAACCCCTCCCTGTAGTCTTGGAGGCCATGAGATTTACTGGAAGCCATGAAGTCACATAGAACCTAGTCCTCTCCTCTGGGAACCACCAGAACCAACCAGAATTCTAAGCTAGGACCTCAGAGAGCTGCCTGAGGTATAAATTGTAGGATCTGGGACTGGAATTGCCTATTTCAGTAGCTAATGCCAGGTAAGTGAGGGATGCTATCAAGCACGGGCAGAGATGTCTACTTACTCCAGAGATAACTCTTAGGCCAGTGTGGCTGAAACAGAAAGTCCCTTCAGAAAGGTACAGACAACTATCTTTTTTAATCCTTCAAAAATTGAAGATAGGGACCTGGTTTCTGGCTTAAGGGCTTGGCTACAGAGGCTGTACCAGGCACTAGTGGCTTCTGAAGTCCCTGGGCTACTTTCTATCTGCAGGGCCTGTGAGTGCCATCCTGGAATCCCAAGGTCCACCTGCTGCCTGCCCTCAGTAGGGATCTTAACTCCCTAGGGCAACTTGCCTCCAATCTGTCAGCATTGATGGGTATGAGCTGGATTCTGGTGGTAGGGATTCATCCCCAGCCCCTGAAATTCATTCACCCATGGTAGGGAGGTGAAGGCCCTCAGGCAGCCACAGCCAAGGAGCAGGCTGGCAGAAGCTCGCCAGGCCACCAGAGGCTCTCCTCACTCCTGACATCTATGATGCAGCAGAGCAGGCAAGGGGCAGGTGATTGCCACAGAGGCAGCTGATCAAGTTGGAAGCCCAGTATTGAAATTTGGAGGGAGAGGATTTTATAAGCTTGGGCTTTAGTATCATCATCCAATTTTTTCCTAACCAGAGGCAAAAGCAGAAGACAAAAATGAGGTGGGGTTGGCTAGGAATCCTTTGTTCTAATGGGGAGGAGCACAGCCCTAGGGCTAACCCAGCAACATTCTGGCTCTAGTCTCCACCATACACCTACCTTCACTTCCCCACTGTTCTGCTTTCAAAGGATTCTCCTGTCAGGCAAAGCCTTGGACAGAAATAGAATCTTCTATAGTTACAGTCCAGCCAGCTCTCCCTCAGGGTGTGCCCCGAGACACATGTGGATGGGTTTGGAGGCTGGGGAGAAATACATTCCAGCGCACTTTCTGAGCAGCCCATAAGGCCTCCTTCATACCTTGGGTCCATGAGCAGCAAGGTATACTTAGTTAAGACACTAGGGTGGGGCAGGGATCTCAGGCCAGCTCCCTGGAGCCAGCTGCTGCCTCATTCCTAACCAGCACTCGTTTGCTAACCAGCTTTTGATATGGGCAGGGGAGCATCCTGCCTTCTCAAGCAAGACACTTACAGACAACTGTTAGGGAGCTCCTCCGGGAAGCTGAAAGGGAGAGAGGAGTCTGTGTGCAGGACAGCCCGTTCCTGAATACTGCCACAGCCTGTTACCATCTGCCAGCTGCCAAAGTCTGTGGAGAGAGAGGATCCGGGCAGGGAATGGTCCACTGATCTGGGGCAGAGAGGAGAGAGAGGGGAATGATGCACAGTCAGTCATATGCCTGACAGAGGAAGCACTGGAAGGGTAGGGGTTGGGGGCTATGGTGGGCCTGGGCCATGACCTCAAAGTTCTGTTGGTGGAGCATCTGTAAAGTCAACCACTTTCTCCAAAAGTGCAAAGACAGCTGGATAGGTTGTGACCAAGAAAAGAAGAATATAGACCATAAGGCAGGCTCAGCTGTGAGGACAATGCTTAGTGCAAAGACTTTCAGAAGTGAAAGGACAAGAGCAAAGCATGGTGACAAGAGGTGAGCCAGCAACCAAAGCCTGGGATCAGGGTATACCTGCCCTGGTGGCTGGCAGAGCAAGTACAATCTCAACAGCACCAAAAGGAGGGGAGTAAGGCTGGATGCCCCAGGAACCAGGGAAGCAACACAGAACCCAGGAGCCCCTGAGGTCCTGGCAGAGAGGTGAGAGAACAAGCCTCTCGGGGAGAGATAAGGGTGGTGACCTAGATTAAGAGTGAGGTGCTGGGAGCCCTAGCCCCACTCTGCAGTGCCTTCCAGGAGCTCTAGTTTGCATTCACAAACACACCCAGCAAACTCACTGGCTATGCCTAGAGGGAAGGGATGAATCAGGCAGGCAACGTGACAGCTTCATCAGGCCTGTTTCAGATGGAAGTTTGTGGGGCGCAGGGAAAGGAAAATTGTATTGGGAATCTACTGCTGCCACCTCCTCTTCACTCAGAGCCAACCCCTCTCTGCTGGGCAGCAACACAGCCAAAAGACGGGGAGGGGAGGAGACAGGGATCCATCAAACAAAGCCCTTCCATCAGCTGCCCCATGTCCCAGTCCCCAGAGATGCATCATCTTTGATGACTGACCCTTTATTCTTTAATTCAAGAATAGCAGAAGGTGCTCCTGTAGGGATCCAGAAACAGAGCAGAAGCATGAATAGTGTGGTGTAGGGGGTGGGGAATAGAGAAAAACATTCATTGACCTTGGCCCACCCAGTTGGCTGACGTAAAGGGCAACAGTCCCCCACATCAGTCACACCAAGCCAACCTTATCCTCAAGCAGCTGCCACCTGAGTACAGCTTTAGGCAGGCGCTGCATCTCCAGTGATCCTTAACCATCCCCATTTTAGAGAGGGAAACGTCAGCCCAGACAGGTGAAGACACTTGCCCAAGGTCCCACAGCTAGTGAGTGCAAGAAAAGATTTTTAAAGCAAGTTTCATTACAGATTTGTCCTACAACAGAACCACCTTGAGACCAGGGAAAACAGATGGCTTTCTACATTAAAGTCACCATGAATTGGAACCTCCTGTAACACAGAGACTTGCCACATTCATCATTCCTGCTAAACTCCGGAAAGTATGTGACAGCAGCATTAGAGATGAGAACAGGATGCGGTCTGCTACCTGGTGGAAGCCCCTAGTGCCCAAGAAAGCAGGGTGTCCTTGTTTCTAAATGGAGAAACCTGGTAGGACTGAGGAGGTCTGTAAATCAAAGAGACAGGAGAGGACAAGTCACATGCTATAGTCTGGCGCCTGCCCTCTGCTTCCTCCAGGTCATACTGGGGCCTTCAGTCAGCACAACCCCTCTAAGATAAGCCTATCTAATCCACAAATCTCATCTACTGTTCAAACTTTAGGGTAGTTTCTTTTCATTTTAGAGGTTTGTGGGATAATAATTCCTAAACACCAGAGTGTTGAGGGACTGAAAGGGATGCTGAGTAGAAGAGGCTGGCAGAATGAGGCACTCCTGGAGAAAGGACCACCGGGGTTTCTTATGCCCCAACTTTACTCCCCCAAGGTTCTCAGAGACTCAGACCACCAATGGGAAAATAGCGGACAGATGGAATGTAGTTAGTGAAGTTCCCTGTAAGGATTCCTGGTTCCATAGGCTAGTCACTTCCCTTTACTTCCCCAGTGTCCAGCAGGTAGCACTACCAGGCAAGAACCACACCTGGAGCAGCCAGGTGACAGCTGTGGGATGGAGGAGGTAGCACAGACAGCAACAGGGTACATGATCCCAGGGGACATGAAGCCATCTCAGCAAGCAGCCATCTTTTTCAAGAGTGAGCATACAGGCTCCAAATGAGTCTTCCTACTTGAGATTTTGGTCAAAGAAAGGGTTGCAAAACCACCATTCAGCTCCTGGGTTTGAGAGCAAAGGACCGTGCTAAGCAGAGAGGTGCTCATAAGTGCCAGTTTGGATTAGCTGGCTAAAAGGGACACCTAAAGATGAAAGGAAATGGTCACCAGAAGGGAGCACCTATACCTACCCAGTGAAAGGAAAAACTTCAAGTCAATCTCAGTATACAAGTAACTCAACCATCTTTAATAAGACCCCATACTCTTCTGCCCCATGCCCTTTCTCAAGCATAAACACTGCAGCAAAAAAAGAGAAGCCTGAGCTCCTCCTCATCTATCTACAGAGCTGGAGGAAACATGAGGCCAAGCTACCCTCAAACTGCAGAACTGGAGCCAATGTTGCTTCTAAGGTCATCTGTTCACATCCCTGTGGCTCAGAGGGTCTAAGAGGTTGGCTTCCTGGTAACATTTCACTCCCTTACATGGATATGGCCTAGGCCCTCTTCACAGCACCAAGAAAGCTGCAACTCCCAACTTTCCCCCACCTCCTACCAGATACTTGCTGTGGTCCAACTCAGAGAATTGTCTTTTATATATTTTTTATTTTTGTTTTTTTAATTCTCACCCAAGGATATGTTTTTATTGATTTTAGAGAGAGAGGATGGGAGAGAGAGAGAAACATTGATTGGCTGCCCTCTGTATGCACTCTGACCAGGGATCAAACCCAGCAACCTGAGTATGTGCCCTAACTGGGAATAAAACCCACGACCTTTCAGTGCACGGGACAATGCTCCAACCAACTTAGCCACACTGGGCAGGGCCAGGCAGGAGTCTTTAAGATAGTCCTTTTTAGGAGGTAGAAATATACCCATACAAGCAGAACTGGCCCAACCCACACAGCTGAAGCAAGAAAAAACACATCTGGCCTGGCCTTTTACCTACCAGGCAGTGCCCTGACATGTCCCATTGGCCCTCAGATACATGACTGAGAAGAACAGATCCTTAATCACAGCTACAGTTTACTGAGCATTTATGGAAAAGATGAGTAGTTACTATGTGCCAGGTATTTCACTCCATTATCTCATTTAAACACACACAGAATCCAGGATCATTATTCCCACTTCAAAGACGGGATTCAAGATAGTAAGCTCACGCCTGGCCGGGCTTGGCTCAGTGGTTGAGCATTGACCTAGGATGCAGGGATCGAGGTTTGATTCCCGGTCAGGGCACGTGTCCGGGTTGCAGGCTCCATCCCCAGTTGGGGGCGTGCAAGATGTAGCTGAATAATGACGATGCTCTCATCACTGATGTTTCTATTTCTCTCTCTCCTTCTCCCTTCCTCTCTCTGAAGTCAATAAAGATATAGTAAAAAAAAAAAAAAAAAAGAATATGTTCTTTAAAAAAAATGATAGTGAGCTCACAACTACAATAGGAGGGTGCACACAGCCCACACAGGGGATGCACCTGGAGAGCCCAGCTTGGGTGAGTGGGGAGGCTGCGCCACTGAGCCCTACAAGACACCTTCTATGTAAGGCCATTCTACTAAGACTGGGAGATGAAGCAGCTCTACCTATACACAGCAAAAAACATGGGGAGGCAGCCAAAATGAGGAGACAAAGAAATATGTCCTAAATGAAAGAACAAAACAAAACTCCAGAAAAAGAACTAAATGAAATGGAGGCAAGCGGTCTACCAGATGCACCGTTCAAAACTCGGGTTATAAGGATGCTCAATGAACTTAGTGGAAGAGCAGATGAACTTAGCAAGAACTTCAACAAAGATAGGAAACAAAAATAGGGATAGAAAACATAAAGAAGAACCAGTCAGAAATGAATACAGTAACTGAAATGAAAAATACAGGGAATCAACAGTAGATGAAGCAGAGGATCGAACCAGCAATTTGGAAGATAAGGAAGCAGAAAACACCCAATCAGAACAGCAAAAAGAAAAAGGAATCCAAAAAATGAGGAGAGTTTAAGGAGTCTCTGGGACAACTTCAAGTGTACCAACATTCACATCTTGGGGGTGCCGGAAAGAGAAGACAGAGAACAAGAAATTGAGAACCTATTTGAAGAAGTAATGATGGAAAAGTTCCCTAACCTGGTGAAGAAAAAAGATACAAACGTCCAGGAAGCACAGAGAGCCCCAAACAAGATGAACCCAAGGAGGCCCACACCAAGGCTCATAATTAAAATGCAAAAGGTTAAAGACAAAGAGAATCTTAAAAGAAGAGAAAAAGTTAGTTACCTAAAAGGGAGCACCCATAAAAGACTGTCAGCTGATTTCCAACAAAAACTTTGCAGGCCAGAAGGGACTGGCATGAAATATTCAAAGTGATGAAAAGCAAGGACCTACAACCAAGATTATCATTTAGAAAGACAGATAAAGAGCTTCTCAGACAAGATAAGCTAAAGGACTTCATCAGCACCAAATCAGTATTCTAAGAAATGCTAAAGGGTCTTCTTTAAGAAAAAGAAAAAAAAGAAAAAATATGAATAAAAATGGCAATAAATACATATCAATAATTATTTTAAATGCAAATAGATTAAATACTCCAGTCAAAACACATACAGTGGCTGAATGGATAACAAAACAAGATCCTTATATATGCTCTCTATAACAGACTCATTTCAGATCAAAAGATACATACAACTTAAAGGGATGAAAAAAGATATTTCATGAAAATGGAAGCAAACAAACAAAAAGCTAGGGCAGCAATGCTTATACCAGACAAAATAGACTTTAAAACAAAGGCTATAACAAGAGACAAGGAAGGATCCAGCAATTCCATTTCTGGGTATTTATCCAAAGAAACCCAAAACACAACATTGAAAAGACATATACAACCATATGTTCACTGCAGCATTATTTACAACAGCCAAGATATAGAAGCAACCTAAATGTCCATCAACAGATGAATGGATAAAGAAGAAATGGTGCTTATATACAATGGGCTATGACTCAGCCATAAAAAAAGAGAATGAAATGTAGCCATCAGCAACAACATGGGTGGACTTAGAGGGTATTGTGCTGAGGGAAATAAGTCAGACAGAGAAAAACAAATGCCATATGATTTCAATTATATGTGGTATCTAATAACCTAAATAAATGAACAAGTAGACCAGAAACAGACTCATAGATACAGGGAACATTTTGACAGTTGCCAGATGCGAGGGGGGTTGAGGGGCTAGGTGAAAAAGGTGAAGGGATTGAGAGGTACAAATTGGCAATTACAGAATAGTCATGGGGATGTAAAGTACAGCACAGGGAAGATAATAATATTGTAATAACTACATATGGTGTTAGATGGGTACTAGATTTAGTGGGATGATCACTTTGCAATTTATATAAATGTATAACCACTGGGTTGTACACCTGAAAAATAAAAAACAAAGGAAAACAGGGCAGTCAGTAATGCATTTAGAACCCTGCCGGTCAAAAATACATCGAAATAGGCTAAGGTTTGGCAATATGGAAAAATTTTCATTTATTTCTAAAATTCACTTATGTAAAAACTCCCCATTCTCCTCTAAAGCCACATAAACCAAGACATGTAAACCAAGGCCTGGCAAACAAACAAATAAAACACCTGAGCTCAGAAGGAAAGTGGTTTTTCCAAGTCAAAAAGCTGGAAGTGACAACGTTGGGAGAGAAACCTGGTCTGACCAAAGGCAGCGCTAGCCCTGTAACACACTGTTCTTTCTTCCTGACGACGAACGGGTGGTAGGGACCTCAGGGATTGCTTCAGGGACGGACACATAACTTCCAACTGAAATTAAGCACAGAGCTTCTGATCTATGGTTGGAAAAGAGGTCAGCATGTGATCCTTGGACGTCAGGAAGGAAGCAGGGTATCCCAGGAGTGACTGGCCACCATTAGCAGAGTTGGACAGAAGACAAAGAGAGCATGTAGAAGAAGGCAAGGGAAAAAAAACAAAGGCTGCCTTTTCCACTGTATTTCTCCATATGAACCAATATTTTCCTTTACTGTTTAAGCCCATTTGTGATGGGTTTTCTGATACTTGCACCTGAGTTGATGGCTGATGAAGAATGTACATAGCTAGGAAGGACCTAGGAGTTGCCTAAGTCTCTGATAAGAAGTTAGAATCTCAAAGCTATCAATTGACATGCCTGAAGTCAGGCAGGGAATGAATATTGGAGCCAAGATCTAGAATCCTAGACTTTGAGGGGGCTGGGTGTCACCTCATCTACACACCAAACCCCCACCAACCTCTAAGCCTCCAGATGATCTCACAGCCTCTACCCAAGTGAACGCCTCCAAGAATGGGGCCTTAAGGGAAGACTGCTTCAGTTCAACAAGGTCCTAAATTCACAAAGCAACTGTCTTCAGAGACGGCTAAAACGGGATTTATCACATTTGAAAAAAGGAACATCACTTTCTCCCAGCCTGGCATTTAAGCATTGGCACATGCAAGCAGGCATGCATGTGACCCAACCAGGGACCTCTAAATTTCAGCAACAGTCCAAAGAGGTCTTTTGGTGCTCCAAGTTTTCTCTTCAGGGTCTCAAGCTGGCAATGCCTTTAGGCTTCTCACACTCATCCCTGGTCTGGAGCTGTGGTCCCATGCCAGAACACATCAAACATGGGACAGGAACCGTATGTACTGCAGAAAGCAATCTGGCTTCTCTGCTTCATTCAACACAGCCTGGGACAGAGCTCACTGCTTATAACAAGCAGTTAGAAGGTGATGGAGGATGGGGGAAGAGCAGCTAGCTGGGCAGCAGAGCTGGTTCCTACGCTGCTACTTAGCTATTTAACCAGGCTGCTGGGTGACCCTCAGCCAAGTTGATATGCTCTTCAGGCAGCTTGGCTTCATGCTGGGCACAGTGATGGCACCTTTCATCCTCAGGCATGGATAGTGCTGTGCTAGCAACCCCACACGCCTAAAGATGTCTGACTCTGGAGCAGAGACCAAGGTGACACGGAGCTGGGCTACTTATTAACCATGGCTTGGGGAGGCATATGAGCTTGGAGCACTGATCCTGCCTCTTCCCAACCCCCAGCCCCGTAGCTGATGAGAGATTTAACAATGGTCCAGAAATGTAGTTCAATTAGAAGCTGTTGCAGTGGCAGCTAGTAATGCAAATAGGCCACGTCTTCCTGGTGAGGGGTATGGGTTAGGGCTGGGTAAGAAGTAGTACCCCTACAGAAGTTTCTTCCCAACCCAACATCTACTTCTCTTTGAACAAAGCTTTACCAATTCCTTTTATAGGGAAGTCCTGCTTTAAGAGATATGCTGTGGAATTTGGAGCACATGAAACCCAGAGAATTCACATTATGAGAGGAATTTTCGCTGCCACAGATAGCTTTACTAAGGTGTTTTCCATATAGTTCCCCCTACTGCATTAAAAAGCTGATTGGCTGTTGTTACCTAAGAGAAGAAGGGAAGCTAATGATGGGATCCCTCAGGCACTTTAAGATAAAAAAGACTAAATTAATTTTAATGTTAATGGAAATACATAATTAGAATGCTCCAAATCTGAATAATCTAGTCGTTCAAAACTTCTGGCAAATAAACATAAAATCCAGAACCTCGTCGCCTGGCCAGCCCAGCCAGGCTCCAAGTGGGCATTCCCAGAATAGCCCAGCAGAGTCATCAAACACCTCCCAGCAGCCCACCTCACGCCTTTCCAAGGCTTTGTGTCCCACTTTGGTCCAGCTGTCCCAGCCTCAGCCAGGCTCTGGCACACAGGGCTGAGAAGCCAGAGGATACCCCGACTCTTCTCAGTCTGAGGGAGGGGCCTTGGTTGCTATCTTGGGCTGGCCATAAGAGTCTGAGCCACCCAGTTAGGTGGACAATCACCGGTAAGACTCAGGGAAACTATCACAAGATTTGAAGGTAGGCTCTTTGGGCAGGAAGAAGGGAATAATAAAAAGTTGGAGTGTGGCAAGAGGTGATAGACTGCTGCCTCAGCAGGGGAGCCCCCAGCAACTGGAGAGAAGACCAGGACAGGGCCTCAGAGGTCAACAGGAATCTTCCTGTTTCCTTCCCAGTTGTCCAGCAAAACTGCACAGGCAGAAAAGGAGGCAGAAGTGATGAGGAAGAGCTGCAGCCCAGAAGGTGAGAGTCACACAGTGCTGCAGCAGCCCTGGACCTGCCCCAGGAAAGCTGGGCATGCAAAGGTGGCACAGCAGTTGGCATACACAGAAGTTGTGAACAAGCACAGGTATGCAGGCTTGCTGCCCAACACCATCTCTGCTCAGTGCCCCCAACCAACCTCCTGTGGGTTCAGAGGGGTTGTGGTCTCTGTTTAATAGACTCAGCTACAGCACTGGCAGACACATTAGTGCTCTAAGTTGAAGGGCTCACCTTCAGGGGTAAGTGCATTAAGACCCATCTGGACAGTGCAGTCTGGAGCTCTACATCTGATCTGCTCTGCCTACATGGGGAGGGAATCTTCCCCATCTTCTTTCATTGCCTGCTTCTGCCCATAGAGAAAAACCAGAGGCTGGTGATGAGAGGAGAGTTCCAGAAGTTTTGGGTTTTTCCTTGTTAATATGCTTGTGACTTTGGGGCTCCTTGGTATAGGCCTATTACAATAAAGGCCTAAAACTCTGGCAAAGCTGGGCTCATATCCAGGATGGACTTCAATGCTTATGCTCTTTCTGCTAAATGCCCGTTTCTCTCTAGAATTTATTAGGGTCCTCTTAAGTCCTGCACTGCTTTGTTCTCTCCAGAAGGGTCAGACATTTCTAAGGACTTAGAAAACAAAGCAATTCAAAGGACTTATGAAGCAAAGCAATCCCTCAAACCTAAGCCCCTGCCCATGCTCAGCTTCAATCTCATTTAGGAAATGTCATTCCTGCAGCATATCCAGCCACACCTGTCCATCATGGCTGAGCTGCTCTCATTCCAGGTATGCAGTCTCCTGAGGTTTGCCCTGCCTCACACATGTAGCCTGCTCCCTATTATCTGTTCTCCTCACTGCTCCACCAATTCAGACATAGAATGTGAGAGCCAGAAGAGACTCAAAATATCTAGATCCATCTCTTTAATGAGAATGTGAGGTCCACAGGGAAGGGGGTGGATGGTGGGCTGAGATCTGCCAAAGGCAATGGGTGAAGGCAGCCCTGACTCTCTACCCATCTCATCACAACCACTACACCTTCTGAATTCCTTACCTGCTAGGGTTCTGAGAAGGAGTCTCAAACCACTCTACAAACCAGCTCTTGCTCTGTACCCAATCATTAACCCATCCTCATAATAGTGAGTTGGTTCGCAAGCTTGTCAATTTCCCCTAACCTCCTGGGTACACTGCCCACCAGGCCGCATGCCAGGAACCCTGTCCTAAGGCAGCACCTGAGGCACCACCTCATGTGCTGGAACCCCTCTCTCCAGCCTTATTAAGAGGGGAGGGCTAGCCACCTCCACCATTAGAGGCTTTGGAGCTCCTCACCTGGCTTTGGGGACCTCCAGAGGACTGCTACCTATCCTGAAAAAGTTGTCAGAATGGTTCGAGGAGGAGGAGCTGGAAGACTTGGCTTCTACCAGCCCCTGATGGGAAAGCAGGCGGTCCTCTGAGGGCTGCGGACGGTTCCAGAGCACACTCTGTGGAGAGGATGAGTGGCTCTTCCTCCTGCAGTGGAAAGAGTAGGGCTGTTGGCCATGGGCAGCAAGAGCTGGGTCTTCATCGAAGGACTGTGGCATCCAAAAAACGGATACTGGCCTCAGAGCACATGCTAGAAAACATATCCTTAACTAACAGATCAGTAACGGCCCCTCCTTCCAAATGTTATACAAAATCTTGAGCCATTTGTATAGGGAGAAAGACATCAGGTTCTCAGATTTCTTGATTCTCAAAAGAGTTGACTCAAACAAGTCCCCAATTCCCAATCATCATTTTGTACTCACCTCGTTTTCTTTTTTTTCTAAACTGGCCCCCCATTTCCTAGGCAAATAATACATGGGAGCTTCCCCAGGGAGTTCCTTTAACACTAGCTTTCCCTCACCCAGCACTGTCACTTCTCCCTTGATCCCACAGGCAGCCCCAGCCCTTTATGCTCCTGGGCCACCACAGGCAGTGCCCCTCACCAACCAGATGGCTGGCCTCCAAGGCCCAGAAGAGACAGCAGGGCATGGAGCTGTGCTCTTAGCCCTACTGTCAGGGGCCCCTTTGTTCCTGAGACTCCCTGGGGCTGGTGACCCTAGGCCACAGCTGTGAGCAAGCTTAGTTCCAGCCTGGCTCCTCACCAAGCTGCTTGAGTCTGCGCTCCTGCAGGGACCAGCTCTATGGCCTCATAGGTGAAGCTCCCAGCGGCTCCTGGGGAGCTCTCCATGACCAGAGAGAAGTCACTGCCAAGGCTGGTGGTGCTGCCACGGTCCTTTCGTCCTGAAAGACACCAATGCCATCAGTTCAGCACATTATCTTCTCCCAGTACTGGTCCCCCACCTCTTCCATACCATATAACCGGAGAAAAAAGTTTCTAGAACAAACAATTCCTGTGCGGTTTATACTCAGAAAGATGCGCAGAGGAAGGGAGATCTGTTGGGGCCTATGACTCACTCAGCATGCAGATATCTTCCAGGGTGAAGCCTGCATCCCGGGCTGGCAAACTCTTCCTTCTGTAAACAGAACCCAGAATGGTGAATTCGAGATTGGGCTGGGGTCTCCTTTGACCCTTCCCACCCTCATGCTGCCTACTTGGGAAAGAAGCTCCAACTCACTTAGCAATTCATGGAGATAGGTCCTACCTAAAGTGTTGCAAAATGCCAGACCCACTGCAGGCAAAGCCTGCCTCCTCCCTGTCAGCTTGGCCCCTAAGAGTTCAAGTCTGGCCAAACACACTAGGAGCTTGAATTTGAAAGACAAGGGAAAAGACAAGGGAACTCAGGAAAGACACCAGCTCTCACAGGGCAATTGTGGGCAAGACTCCTGCATTTCCCAGACTGGGAGAAGACTCTGCTGGTAGTGATGGGCTGCACAGTGAGTGGTGCATAAACACCTTGCAGTAGTCCAGGGAGGGCAACAAACCACTCAGGCAGAGGAATTGGTTTCTTTGGCTGGGTTGTGGGCAATTAGAAGTCCTCCTGTCCTTGGGCCGGCTTTTCCTACAGCGAAGCACCTGTCCTTCTAGCTACAAGACCACTCATCTGGCCCCAAACCTTTCTGATAGTATGACTGCAGGCTGACCCCAGCCCTGCGTCACACGCAGAAGTGCCACTTTACCCATTTGCCTTCACCAGGGACCTTACCTTGGCCTCAGAGGGAAGGCAGGAAAAGGCCAGCCTGCCAAGCATGCAGGCAAGCTGGGCCAGGATAAGATGGCAAGTGAGACCCTGCCTGCCCTACAGTGGCCCTTCCCAGAGCATCTTGGCCCCAGAGTAAGAAAGCAGGCCTCTCCTTACCTCTGAGTCTTCAGAGAAGAGAACTCCTCAGAGATGATATGCTTCAAAAAATTGAAGCAGAAGAAGAAAATCTAAAGAAACAAAAAGTAGCACACATGAAAAGATAGCCTTCTCTAGAGAGAGGAAACTAGGTGGCAGAATGCCCCGGAAAGGGCAGCCAGACCCCCCGGTCAACCTCTGCTGGACAGTAGCCCTGTTGGGGCGCCCTGCTGGATATTCTGGTCTATAAATGGAACAGGTGGTAGAGAGGGCTTAGCAGGCCCGGCAAATGCACTTAGGCTCGGACGAGGAAGGAAGGGATCATGTTTCCTTCCTGGGAATGCACGAAGGTAAGTCAGGGATTTTTCAAACTCTTCAGATTCAACACCCACATTCTCAAGCTATTGAAAAGGATGACGAGCACGGGAGCTTCGCCCCTCAGCCTCTAAGAACCCCGGGGAGAGAGGCTAAGAAAGAACAGCTGGAAGGAATTATTTGAGGCAAGGAGATTACATGAACACAAATTAAAGAACACAAAAGAAGGGAGAGGAATCAGATTTTGTAGACCTGGGGGGGTGCCCAGATTTACTGGTTCAGGAGAACCAGGGGCGAGGGGCAGCCACCATTTAGCCCAGAGCCTGCACTGTTCAGGAGCTGTGAGGGGCAGGTCTAAGCCTGAAGCGGGCAGACAGGAGAAGGCTGCTGACCTCCAGCCACATGCCCACCGCCCTTCTCTTCCAGCCATTGCCCCAGTCAGGTGGACCTCCATTAAATGCACACAAGGCATGGTCTTTGCAATTTTGGGGATTTTAAAAAATATATACTTATTGATTTCAGAGAGAGGAAGAGAGAAGGAGAGAGGGAAATATCAATGATGCGAGAGTCACTGATCGGCTGCCTCCTGCACACCCCCTACTGGGGTCGAGCCCAAAACCCGGGCATGTGCCGACCAGGAATTGAACCTCAATCTCCTGGTTCATAGGTCAATACTCAACCACTGAGCCACACCAGATAGGCAGTCTTTGCAGTTTTTAAACTCCCCAGTAATCATGAAAGGTACAGACCATGAACCCCTCATGGTATCCAAGAGCCCTGTTTGATTTCCTAAAAAAAAAGGGAGCATCAGCCAGGGCAGGTATGGCTTAGCGGTTGAACACTGATATATGATCCAGAAGATCGAGGTTCGATTCCCCATCAGGGCACATGCCTGGGTTGCGGGCTTGATCCCCAGTGGAGGGCATGTAGGAGGCAGCCGATTAATGACTCTCTCATCACTGATGTTTCCATCTCTCCCTCTCCCTTCCTCTCTCTGAAATCAATATATATATATTTTTAAAAATGAGCATCAGGTCAGTATGAACATGTTGTTACATAAAATTAAACAGGTGTTTTCACCAAAGACTTTTTAGTCTTTAATATGCTAATGTGCTGTGAACCTCAAAGACAAGGGAGAGGAACAGAGTGCTGTTTAATAGGCCTCAGTTTTTTGTTTTTATTCTTTAAGGCATCAATGTCTTTCTTTCTTTCTCTCTCTCTCTCTTTTTTTTTTTTTTTTACAATAATGTCAAGTCTAATCTACCAAATATAACAGTTGGATTTGTGGAGCATCTTTTGCCTGGGTGCCACACAGTAAACAGAGGTGTCTTAAAATAATTGATGGGTAAGGTTAAGAATGGGTGGGGATGGGGGTGGGGAAGGGCAGAGGAGAGGCCTCAGAGGAGACTGGCCAGGGATGAGCCATGACCCTCAGGGACCCAGGGGTATGGGCTCCCCTGAGTTAGTACCCAGGCAGCACATGTGGGCTGGCTGTTGCTGACTTGCCAGCAGCTGCTGCCAACACAACCATGCCCTATCATGCAATCTACTGGACAAATGGAAGCTCTTCTTACCCCACCTCCCAGCACCCCCCAAAAGGGTTAAGAATTATGAAAACAGCAAAAACATTATAATGGTTACATATGAAATGCTGTCCTGCATCTTTGTTTCAAATATAGCAGCTGCC